TCCACTTGTATCAGATACACCTGGGATGCTATTAAAGTTGGCGAATCTTGGATTCGTTCCAGAGCTCCCGCACTAGCATTCTGTGTGTGGGGTCAAAGAATATGAATTTTTTTCTAGCTGCTCACACCCCGGAGCCTGCAGTTCTCGGGACAGTGGTCAGTGTTGTCAGTGGCAGAGCAGGTAGGTCATGAAGACATTTCCCCTCCTCCCTCAAACATCTACACCAGGGTTTCCCGGATGGAAGGCGCGCAGGGGTTGTGTAGGGCCGGGGCCCTGCCGGAGTCTGGATTTCTCACAAGCTCCCAGGGGAAGCGATGCTCCCTGTCTTAGGACTTCACTTTGAGTAAAGAAAGACGCTAGGAGACAGTTGTGGTGCTTAGCGTTACCTATCAAGAGCCATCTGATAGAGGGTCAAATGAGTGTTGACAAGGGCACCAGCGAAGGATGCTGGGACAGCTAGACCTGCAGATGTGTCTGGTGTTGGGGTGGGAGCCCTGCTTCATTCCATATACAAAATTCAATTTAAGAAGGACTAAACGTAAACTAAATTGATAAACCTTCCAGAAAAACACAGGTGATTGTTTTCTCTATGTAATTATATGTGTGTTTTCCGATGGTCTTAGGCGACCCCTGTGAAAGGGTTGTTCAACCCCCAAAGGGTCGCGACCCACAGGTTGAGAACCGCTGGACTGTAAGCTCAACTCCTCCTGTCCCCCACCCGCACCCAGGAGCACTGTAAGGCCACTGTGCCCGTGGCCCTCCCATGAAAACAGGAGGACCGAGCCAGATCCGCCCTGGCTCTGGAAGCACCACCAAACCCCCAGCACCCGTGCAGCACGGACCAGAATCTGGCTGATCTCGTCGGGCCGCTTGTGCAGAACTGTGATCCCGTTCACTTCCCGGAGCTCGTCCCCAACGTGGACCAGGCCTAGGAGACACAGGGGCGGCCGTTAGCACATGAAAGGGGCTCGAAGCTCTGGGCACTGCTGGGACCAGGACGAACGGAGTCCCTACTGCGTGCTGGCTGCCTCCCTCGGCATCACAGCCTCACAACTACCCGGTGAAACCTCCAGTTTACAAGATGGCAGCTGAGATCCAGAAAAAGTGTGCAGCTTGCCTCAGGCCACACTGCTCAGTAATGGAGCCGGTGTTCAAACACAGTCATTTTGATGTAGAAAGACTGTGTTCTTTCTGCTGTAACCCCTGCTTCTTTAAAAATTGCATTAACTCTTCACCACCCTGGCCTCCGCTGTCATGACAAGCCTCTCTGGGTATTGGGCCCTATTTGCTACTGAAAGCGGACGCTGGCCCAGCAGGGTTAGCACCACCCAGGAGGCGGGCAGGTGTAGAATCTGGGGCCCACCTAAGACCTGCTGAATCAGAATCACCTTTTAACAAGATGCTGGGGCCAGGGGGAGTGGGGGGTCGTGTGCTTGCTCACGTTTGAGAAGCTCTGGTCTAGGAGTCTCCACACCATGATCCCCAGATGTGGGGATAATGCTCCCCACACCAGGAGGTTTGCCTCCGACTCAGGAGTTCTTCCCCACACAGTGATTTGCAACTTCTTTTCCACCCAAACAAATCTGGGACATGAACACCCTCCCTTCCGCAATAGTGCAACTCGGTGGTGGGGAAGGAAGGGTGTCTGCCCCCCAGTTAGGAATTACCCTCCAAGCCCATGCTGCATGCATGAGTCCTGATCCCCTCATCTCTCCATGTCTGAGAGATTTTTCAAGCAATTCAATTTTCTACCAGGCTGGTGAAAGAATTCCAGCCCCACTCCCCCACTCCCAGTACCTCCCAAACAGGTGACCACAGAGGAGGGGAAGATGAGACCCGTGGCCAAAGGGGGAAGGCCGGGGGATGAAGGCCATCGCCTTGGCCAGGTGGGCAGTGATGCCACTCACCACTCCGGTCTGCTGCGCCCCCTCGCATGATCCGGGCCACCACGACAGCCCCTGAGTGCTCATCCCGTCGGATGGTGGCGCCCTGCATCGGAGACAGAGCAGGCAGGCTCCTCAGAAGCACCCACAATCCTCCGATTCCAACACTCTGGCTCCCCCAGAGCCCCCCACCCCTCCCTCTGTCATCTCAGAGAGCAGGTCAGAGGGGACCTTTCCAATGCTGAGGATGCAGTAAAGCTGACATCTCCCGTTAGTGTAGCACAGCACTTCACAGTTTAAACAAAGCACCGTAACCAGCGCCCAGCTCATTTTGGACACGAGGAACTGGGGCTCAGGGAAGGGAAGCATCCGCAAGGTCACCCAGCCGAGAAGGAGGAATGCTTTTTGTGATGCTGAATCCAGAGCTTTCTCTATCACTGCCTCTTGCAAAGACATTTAATAATGAGGAGAGTATGTGCCAGCAAATTCTCATCCTGCCTCTAACCAATCACAGGGCCTTCTGTTGCCGAAGGGAATCAATTATGCCCCAACCAGGGCTTCGGGACCAGGACTTGGTCCATGAAGCACAGAAGAGAGGTGATCTAGGATGAGAAAAGTCTAACAAGCCCTCATTTTCCTGCATCACACACGCTGGGCAGTGAGTGGCAGGGCAGGGTGGCAGTCAGGTCAAGAGCTGAGCTCCGGAGTTGGACAGCCCTGGGTTTGAATCCACGCTGGCACTTATAAAAGCATGCGGCCTTAGCAAGGAAGCCCCTTATCCTCTCTGATTCTATTTCCTCTGGAGTGTGGGGTAACATTTAACTCACGGGGTTGTGCAAGGATTACATTAGGTAAAACATCCAAGGCACTTAGCACACAGTAAGTGCTCAATAAATGCTAGCCATTTATCATTGGCTGTAACTGCAGACACTTTGGTGCACTTATTAACTTTGTTTGTGTCATCCATTTGAAGTACATAAGATAAATGCTGCTGGAAAGACAGGCCATTAGCTGAGAACCCTGTGGCTTCTTGCCCCCTAGACCTTCATGCTTCCCAGCATGTGTCCACCCCTCCCTCCTTCCCCATCTTAGCAGAGGGGCTCCTCTTGTCTAGGTTGGTCCCTCTGCCCTCCCTCCCTCTCCTACATCCTCAATGCCCCTTCTCTCCTGGACCTAAAAATATTATCACGTCTCTCCCATCATAAAAAGCCTGCAGCCCCATCCAGCAGGAGCCAGTCTCCATTCCTTTGGAACAAGCTTCTTAAAGAAGCAGGGTGCATCTGCTCTCTCTGCTTCCTGCCCTCAGAGTCACGCAGCCCTGCAACCTCAGATGTGCTGGGAGCCGGTCCATCCTTGCTGCTTGACACAGTTGCTGCAGGGAAGAAACATCTGCACAGCATGTGTTTCAAGGGACCTGGCGTATATGGCATACTGTTCTTAATATGTTTGCTCCCCTTCTTAGCTCTATGTGTTTTAACCAAGGTCACCTCTCTGAGAAAGGTTGTTTCCCCAGGTAGGGATTTTTCCCTGAAGTTAGGGAGGGAATAAAACCCCCTAACTAAGTGCCAGGCGGGTAGTTACTCACTGTAACT